TAATCCGCATGCTCGAGGCTTTTTCAGAGACCTTCGAGCGCCTCGCAGTGCAGTACTGCTTATGTAAGCGGAATAAGCTGCGAGATTTGAAAGGTCGTATGTGCACTATTGTTCGCGGGAATCGCCTTGGACCGTCGGAAATTTTTATAATCGCCTTAGCAGACACTTTTCCGCGTTGTCAGATTTCGTACTTCGATGCGTCTCCATAACTTGGACCCAACTGACTCCAACAGTCTGTCTCCTTGAGATTCATTTTTTTGTTTTTTTTTTTTGGTTTTTTTGTTTTTTTTTTTTTGTTAATACGAAGATATAATGACTTACTTGTAAATATCGTGAACATTGCGTACTTTATTATGGCTTTAGTTCAGCGACTATTGCGTTTATTTTCATTCTATTATTCCTTCTCCAAGTGATTTTCCAATAACTGTATTAATAACGTTAACACGTGTTGAAAATTATAAAAGTTATGTAGTGAAATCGATACAGAAACTTTATATAAATTATTCATTATTAAAAATCTTACTCACATTGATGATACCTAGAAAAAAATATAGCTCTAATATATTTTATACTTTATTTCATTCAGCTAACAGCTAGTATATAATATAGAAGAGTAGGGCTGTTTTAATCTATTGTTTATTATTAAAGGAAATATAAAAATTATTATTCCAAAGATCGATTTTAAAACAATCAAACATAACAAGCCACAACGACCTGCATTTTCGTAAAATCTGCAAAAAAATATACTTTATCAACTTATATAAAACGAGAAAAACATTATTCAAGGTTAAAATATAGCTTTTACATCTGTTACTTAAAATTCAATTTAATAAAATGAAACGATAAAGTGTAATCATTAAATTAAAAAAAAAAAAAAAAAAAAAAAAAAAAATTAATCAACATTAATAAATGTCAAGTATAGTAAAAAATTTTCAAAAGCGTTTTCTCTTGAGGATGTCTGGAAGAAAATACAACTATTCTTGGTAAATTTGGCTTAAGAGACACGGATTTCATGAAAAGTAGGAAGAATACAAATTTTAATCCAAATATTTTTATTTTACCTTATTTGGAAATGTATGGGAAAATTTGAAGCGATTTGCCAATTTAAAACCACTGCACTGCTTGCTCTTATTTATGAAATAATTAAACAAATAACATTTATGAAAACATTTATAATTAACTGAATTGTATAATTGACAATTTATCAAATTAATTATTATTAAAATCCAAAATTAAATAAAGGACTGTGATAAATGTATGATAGTGAAGTAAGGTAATTGAATATGTAAGGTCTAAATGAATTTAATGTTATGTAAATTCGTGTTACAAAAGTTTTACTTACAATAAATAATGCATTAATTTATATAAAACAATAAAAAACAAAGATTCTAATTATAATCGTATAAAGTAGTTTTAAAGATGAAAAGCTTTATTATCATAATTTTGACTTACAACCAATGAAAAAAAAAAAATAAATAAATAAACAAATAAAATAATAATAATAATAAATAAATAAGAAAAAAAGAAATCATTTGATATTCAAAATATAAATTCATTAAAAATATACACAAATTAATTATCAGTAATTTCCAAATAAATGTATTAAATTGAAGTATCAAATTTAGGGAAAAATAAAGTGTGTTCAAATTATGAAATAATTGTCAGGAAATTAATTTAAAAAAAATGTTCAAATATAAAACTGACATGTAATTTGAAAAATAAGTAAATTTAAAACTATAATAAAATGACGAAGCATTTTCATAAAATTTCTTTATTTCTGATACATTATTATTATTATGTAAATCGACATAATAAAATAAGATTTTACGGTAATTCATAAATTTCGGTATTGAAACTTTATTTAAGGAAAAACAAATAAATCCTATAAATCCAATGAATTTTTACCTAAAGGTAATATTAAATAAAAAATAATCTTATAATTTACGCTATCATTAATTTTATTCTGCAGTCTTCGTTAAAATCCCTATTATCAAATTTTATATCACATATGCGTGACGATGGGGATAAATCAATGGCATAAAACTGGACTGAACTCGCAGTTAAGCGAAATCTGGTAAATTGTGAAAGTAAAAGAGTCGAAGAGTTGAAAGAGAAAAATTATTAAAAAAGCCGAAAAAGAGAAAAATAGTATCAGTTTTAAACGTTGGCTAGCAGCACTTCCGTTTTAATAATACGTCGAAAAAATCCCTCACACCGCAATGACGAAGTCTCTCTCTCTCTCTCTCTCTCTCTACTTGTATCTATCTATTACTTAACTACATATGTGTCACTGTTCATTTTTTAACTTCTCTATCTCTCATTTTCGAAGTAATCGTCGTTAACCGTCCATTCTTTATAGAAGCCTTGCTTAAACAATCATCATAAATTTGTGTTTTATCTCTCATTTTATGTATATCAATTTTTAGAATTTTTACATATTATTAGGTTATTTCTTATTTTATATGTCAATTTCATTCTACATCTAATTCATTTATTCTCTTTATGCCATATAAGGAAGTGTAATAGCAACTCTATATAATAAATATAGTCGATAATACATTTAATAATAATTTCATCAAGTCTTTATTAATCAACTGTATTTGCCGAAACATGATATTATTCATAAATTTATTTATTCTACGTAGCTATATAATATTCATAAAAATAATTCAATTTCTCAATATTGTGAGATATATCAAGGCCGTGAATATAGTCTGGCAGTAAGTACTTACTCTCTTTCATCTCGTTTCACAGATTACCTGGGCAATGAGTGTGAAAAGATGCTGCGGTGAAGCAGTCTTCGTTTAACATTAGTCAAAAGGTTATCAAAATTAAACCTCGAGGCGTCTTCAGCGTCAAATTAGAAATAAAGCAGTGAATGAAGTAAGGTAGAAAAAAGAGGAAGAAACCACGAGAGAGAAAACGCCTCATTTTACATTGAGTGAGTAAGAAAACCAACGGACATGTCTGCCTTAGTCCTTCTTTTTTCTTACATGAAAATTTTACGTCATTGTTTTTTTTATATTTATAATTTGCGGCACTTAATCCATTAAAGCCACTGCTTACTACCTAATTATTAATAATAACATTACAGTTTTATAATTGTTATAAAAACTTTAATAAAGCACAGGCGTAATAATTATCCGAGGAATTAACTATTTTCATAAGGAATAATGTTTTCATAGTATTAAAAAATATTTAAATGAACGATTAAATTCAAATTATTCGTAATTTAAGATTGAAAGAAATATATATATATACATAAATTATTATTATTCATATAATAAATATGTAGTAATAATAATGATTCGAACTGATTTTTACAATTACAAGCAAATATTTCAATATGTAAAATATTTTTTAAACAAATTTATGCTGAAACTTTCGTAATGCAATATTTGACAATTCATTTAATTATTAATTATAAATAATTACATTTCACATTGCTGTAAACTCGTAACTTACTAACAATGCTTGTAATTTGCTGTTTTCCAAATAAGCAAGTAAATTAATAAAAATGAATAAAATGAATAAAATTCATCCAACTAATTCGTTGTAATATTTTGTAATTCGCATTATTTTCGTGTAAAATTCGACTCCTCTAATCGTAAAAAATCCAAATAATACTGATCGTTTAATATCAATTACGGATTCATTGTAAAGGTTTGGATGAATCGATTCTTCTGCTACCTGTCCTACTTCTACTATATCCATCGCTTTTTCTTCCCTCTCTCGTCTGTAGTTGACTACTCGCTTCAATCGCCAATCATCGTCCGATTTATTATTTATGCCGCGAGACTTTATTAATATTTGAATGTCAGCTAACCACAAACAATGTACATCCTAATAGTGGACGTTATACATTACCGATTTTGTAATGTAATGTAATGTAACGAAAAATTATTCATAATTTATCAATCGCGGTAAATTTTTCTTATTTTTTTTATAACATCGTAAAAATATTTAGTAATTTATAATATTTTTTGTTCTGATGATTCGAAAACTCTTGCTTTACACAGTATTTTAAGAGAGAAATTAATTTATTAATAAATTTATTCATGATCCATCGAGTCTCCTCTGATTCTGAAACAACTCTATCCTGCTAATGTAAAAATGAATTTTTTTCCTCCTTAATTCTCTTAATCGCATCATAAAATTATTAAATGCATCATAAAATTATTGTTATTAAACTATTATTGTACTTTCTGCGAAATTTTCTTATTAACATTATAATCACGTAGATAATGAGGAACTTGACTCTATGATAATTTACATGAATAATTTTTGGATTTAACACTGAATGATAAATTTTAATTGTTCAGAGAAAAAAAAAATCACATGCTTTATTTTAATTTACTTAATTTTTTTTTAATAAACAACAACGTCAACCACAAGAATAACAATAACAATGATAATAATTATTATAATATAGAGCATATATCAAAAGTCAGCTTTCTAGCTAAAATTAAATTTTCATCAAAGGGCAATCACTAAGCTAAATAACGCTTTTTCATAGCTAAATGCATTCAACGCTTAATTAGCAGAGTAGAGCGGAACATTTTCGATAAGTCGATAAGAAAGCCATGAAAATTACCATAATCAAAGGATTAATTAAAACCGAAATTTCGTTTCATGATATTCATATAAGTAGAAAACAAAATGCTCGCAGTTAATAAGAAATTGCCACCGCATCTAACCCAAATAGCGAGTTCACTTGAAATTTAAACGAGAAAAAAGTCTCAAAGAAGCTTGCAGAACTTACAAGTCACAAAGGTATTGCGCACATCCAAAGCTCCTTGTCTACAACCCAAAAAGCTCGCGCTCGATGAATCGCGGAATCATTTTGCGTTAACCTCCTCCAATGGAGAAAAATTAAAATGTAATAGCCTATTCCCCCGCCCCTCCCTCCCTCCCGCCCTCCACAAACCACCACCTAGCCCCTACCCCCTAACCCCTATCCCCTAAATCGTCATCTGTTTTCCGGCAGGTGGTGCTCGTGTCTAGGATGCGCTCGGCGTGTTCCCTAGACCTCGCGCCCACGAGAGGGACTGAAGCGGTAGAGGCCCGAGCCCTGGGAGGATGATAGATCACAAGCCGCAGATTCTACTGGCGCCGGCGCTGAGCAATAGCAGCTGCTGGCGCAGCCATCCCGGTGGCTTCGAGGCCCGCTGGCAGACGCCCGGCGTCGGCGAGCTCGTACGCGCCACCCTCGTCCTCCTCCTCAGCCTCGGTATCCTCGGCGCGAACCTCCTCGTTATCTGTGTCATCAACAGCAGAAGGTACCACAAGTACATTCACGCCCAGGTGAGTCCTTGAGAGCTGTCGTTCGGACCTACTTCGGACATCCGGAGTGATTGCTCAGGGCCAACATTGGTGAAAATTCGCGAAAAGGATTATAGTTGCCTAACGATCTCGCTCGCATTTACTTTACTTTATTCCTTTATTTATTCTTATGAAAGCTATCGAGCTACTGACACAACTTTATATCGTTCTCTTCTCAAAGCTCTTCTCAGCTCTTCTCTTCAAAGCTGTTTTTCCTTTTGATTCCGGTGGTTGGTCACGAACTGGCTCAAGGCACATCCCAGTGTATGAGCATTTCTTATCTTTTAAGCACATTAGACATTGTTTGTTTAACCATTAAAGGAATGTAATTACGAAGAAGCGTAATTAAATTTTAGTCTTCCTAAGGCAAGTATTCAAAGTCGTACCATTTTCTACGATTCACCACCGTACAACAATCCTATTATATTTATCGATTAAAAAATATAAGCTCAGTCACGTCATTTCTTAACGTATATAACACAATGGCATCCCGACTCCTAATAATCCATTCGAATTTTAAAAATAATTTTACGCTAAAAAGCCGAAAATACATCCAAGAGGCAAATAGATAAGTTTCTTAGGGACATTGACTCTCGAATACTATCTTATCTCAGCTACTTATAAAATTTTATCATTTCCAGTAAAAGCGTCTGTACACGAACACATGATTATCTCATCCAATGATGAGGTACACGTGACCTATAAGTCTAATTTTGCTAAGTAAATCGCATCCATTTGTTTACTTTATGTAATAATCATATATCAGTAAACGCCATATCAATGATAAATCCAGCAAAGAATAAATCACTCGATTAAAATAATTAAAAAAACAATAATAAACAATAATAATAATCTGTTCCTGATAAGACACTGTACATAAATACACTTGGGCACAGGCACACTTACATACATATGTGAATATATATATTTAAATGGAAGAATATACTTGGAAATAGCTTTTAAGATTCTCCAATGGCATAATAGTATTATTAGATTGAAAAAAATTCAATCCACAACAAAAGATTTTAATCGCTATTGTTTAATCGCTCTTCTTCGAATTAAAAATTTTTTAAATATCGTTAAAATCATCAAGTCAAGATTCATAATTTGGCAGTGCTATTTATTATTATTCATTTTTAACGAATCGTAGAATAAGAAAAATTATATCCATTATTTACGCCGCGATGTAATTTGTCAAACTCGAGGTAAGCTTAACGAGGCTCTTCATTAAAACAAAAAAAAAAAAAAAAAAAAAAAAAAAAGTTACAAACATATATTCTTTGGAATATGAAAGCTCGAATCGTTGAAATATATCGAATTTATTCCTCATCTAATTTGCTTTTATATAGCTGGAATAAAGTCGATCATAAACACCGTTTAGTACAATCGAATCCTCAATTTGTTCATTTCAATTCCTAAATGATACAGATTATTATTCCTTCATGCATAACTAGTATTTTCTTTCTTTCAATTACAATTTCGCCAAAATTATTTTAATGTTTCAATATTTTAATGATTCAACGATAAGTTACGTGAATTAATCATACGACATTTTCCAAATACTAATAAATACTTTAGATTATTAGATTTTTTTATATATAAACAGTTTACATTATATGATTTACCTATATATACATTATTTTACAAATATAATTCGTATAAAAGTCACGTATCTTTATTAATGATTATGATAACAGAATCCAAAAAGTCATTAATTTCAAAGAAAAATACCGAATAATGTTGAAAGAATATTATGTAATATGTGAATATAACATTTGTATAATTATTTTTAAAAAGTTTAAAATGTGTTTTCGCATGTACACGCATTTCTGTGCGATTAAAATTGTACATTTATACAATTATGAGAAATTGTGGATAAAAAAAAAAAATATATATATATATATATATATAACAATTTCATATGTACATATTAATAAAAATTTTTATAAATAGTAAGTTATACAATGACAAATAAACACGTGAATATATAAATACGTGAAGTGATTCTTTTAATGAAATAATTTAGACCAATATAAATGAATTTTTTAGCATTTAATTGTGCATCCTCAATCAGGATAAGTTCTCCTGAACGTGCATCTCCAATTATTATTTTCTTTCACACTTCCTTAGCTCTTTGTAATGTCTACAGACACGACCACGGCCGTATATCTATACTCTATATAGAATAAACAATTAGTATTAATAACTATAATTATTTTAATGTAGTTTTAAAATTTTATGTTTATATTTTATTTTTTTAATAAAATCTACATACTCTATATAGTACTTATTTAAAAAATTTCGCCATATTGAAAATCGTGGCTGAAAATATTCTTATTATTGTAGAATAATAATTAATTAAGCGAAGTATTATCACTATCATTTTTTTATCATAAATAGTTAGACGCGTATTAGTATTCTTAATGTATAAAGTTAAAAGTTTATTCGTGAATATAGAGAATTTTGAAGGGCATTCTAACTACATTTAAACGCATTATAAATTTACGTGAGTAGGTGCACTATGGGCTTGTTAGTTATACGTGTAATATTGTCGTGAAACCATCCAAACATTCTGGAAACTTGATCTGTCGCAAGGTGGCTCACTTGATAGTATCGCTATTGATGAACCAAATATTTTGATAACTTTTCATTAATTTTAAATGAGTTAAATTTTCGGTGCAAAAATGCAGAACCGAGCTTTGCTTAATAATTCGTTAAGCTACTCTTAAGAAGAGGAAATTTCATCATTCCAAAAGCATAATAACGAATTTAACAAATTATTATGCTTTCCAATCATTATAGCTATTTCTGATAATCACATCCACAAAATTATGTTATAATACTTGTAAAAAATAAAAAATAAAAAAAGAAAAGAAAAGAAAAAAAAGAAAGAAAAAAAAAAGAAAAGAAAAACAAGACTTAGACTAAATTTATATATTATTATGAGAAATGTATTTGTAATTAATATTTCAAATGTTATATTATTATTGCTTCTTCACTCTATCGGTCCATTAATTTTTATAATTTTTCAATATATATTGATTATGAATTCCAGCACTAAATGTTTAATTTGTCATTATTGACACTTATCCTATTATTAGGATTCAAGCGAACTTATCAAAACAAATCTTGAAACATTTAGTAGTGAACAATATAATATTGTCAAATATCATTATACATATGTATTTTATAAGCGCACACAATGAAAAGATATAATATTGTAAATAGGCTTATGAGCATTAGATGTCGAAAATTAAAATATCAACTCGACTTTTATATATTTAATTTTAATAACTTAAAACATATTTATGCTACGTACATAATTTATTTTCAATTTTATCTATAATATTTATCAAATTACTTTAAAGGCCAATAAAAAAATTTATAATATTATATATAAGTTCATTATTATTATTATTATTATTATTATTATTATTATTATTATTATTATTATTATTATTATTATTATTTATTATTATTATTGATTATTATTTATTATTATTATTATTTACATTGCGCTTAATACAATATATGATATTTTTATACTAAATGAAATTCAAATTATAAAAATTTACAAGATAATATGGATAAAAAATAAAAAATAAAAATATTCATGCACGAATTATGAATATTCTCCTATAGAAGCTATATTTAATCGATTAATAAACATAAATAATATATTCAATTAGAATATAAATTTTTCCAATATCATGTTACGAGAAAGTAATATAGCGCGTCAATTAGTGGCATATCACATGATTATAAAAATGTATATTCAAAAATTGAAAACGAATTTTAAATTATAATTAATAAATTTAATATTTATCATTGATTCGAGTGCATTTGAATGAATTTCCAGAGAGTCGGATAATAGGAAAAAGTTACTTGGTTATTTTATGCCTAGAAATGCTTATGAATCAAGTTGTTCGTGATTATTTACAATGATATAAACGAGTATTAGAGGCTAAGGAAGCCTTTGAGTAGCGACATACATCAAGAAATAATAATCCCAAGCAAACGATAATTTACCCTTGCAATTTTCATGTGTTACCGATCCGCCGACAGCCACGATATTTACTGACAAGTTTGGCGAGCAATGACCTCGCGATCGGCCTCCTGGTGACGCCCTTCGGCTTCGTGCCCGCCATATACAGCTGTTGGCCATACGGCGAGGTGATTTGCCAGATCCAGGTATGTAATCACTAATTATTTTTCCAATCCTTTGGTCAATCAATGATTTATTAGAACGTACATTCTTACTTTCTTTTTTTCTTTACCTTTCTTTTTTTTTTTTTTCTTTTCTTTTTAATAAGTGAGCATTGGGATAACGAGACGATTGAAGGCCTTTGCATTGAAGGGATTTGCGATATAGTATTTTCTGAATTATAATAGGTACTGTATAATGGTAGGACGCAGCAAACGTTCGTTTGTTAATATCATTAAAATGTATGCGAGTAATTTGGCTAAGTGAGCATGAGCAGTCGAATGCATCCTATTCACTTTTCCATTTTCAATATTAACGATCTCACGATCTCCCAATGTGAATATTTCGATTAAACTGATTATGAATTTCAAATGTAAATAAAGAATTCATGCATTATGGGGCTGATTAAGCAAATTAACATAATCACATTTTAACGTAGTAATTTAGGCAATTAATAAATTATTTTATTATTTATCAAATATTTTCCTAATTGCTACACATGGTGATATTAAGATTATTATAGAAAATAAAATCATCAACATCATCAGCACAATATGTATATATGCGCATGCGTGTGTGCATGAATGTATTTATATAACATATAACAACAAGTTATAAATATACCTTGTTAATATTATAAAGTGATAATTTTAAATTAAAAAAGAATTATTATCATTTCAAATTATAATGAAGATCATATTGTTTTGTTTGTAGGAAACGTAAAACTGTAAGTTGTTCAAATATTTTAAAAATCAGTATGATTAAATTTAATTTAGATGAATTTATTTATATCAAATTTTATTTTTTAATGTGTAACATATTAAAAAGAATAATTTAATATTATAAATGTATAAGGTTTGATTTAAAAATTGTTATAAATTAACGATTAGAATTATCAAGAATTTAAACTTCCTTTATTATATATGCACATATATATATATATATATATATATATATATATATGTATATGTGTGTATATTGCCAATTTGATTAATAATATGTATATTTTAAAACACTTTTTATAATCGATATTGAAATAGAAAACTTAATTTAAAATAAAAAATTTAAGAATTAATAATATAACGAATACCGATTGTGATATTGGAATCTGTGAAAAGGACATCGTGTAATACCTTCTTTTTTTAAGAAAATCTTAATGCAATTTGAAAGGAGGCCAAGCAACGTTCTGATTCTCCGGCTCCACTCGTTAATTCCCGCCAATAACTCTTTCATTGGACTAATAAACTAGCAGACGACGATTTCATTTCTTCATTCTCCAGCTCTTCATCAATTCCTTCTTATCCTCTTTCGCACTTCGTCTGAATTTCTACTTTTTCACCATAATTGTCTATCTCTTCTAATTTTACTGCCTTAGTTTTTTCATTTTAATTTTTCAGGCTTGAATTAAAATTTGCTTTTCTCTCTTTATATTTTACATCATTTGTATCTTCTTATTTGATATGATGTAACTTTTTTAATTCACTTCGGTTTTCCAGCATTTTTCATATTCACCTTCTCTGCATTTTTAAAACTCTCATGCGATCTCATTGACCAAATTTATAAATATAAATATTTTATCTACCTTTAATATTTCTACTTTAATAAAAAAATTTTCAATATTCCAAACAAAATTATAAATGATTGTTCAAGTTTTTATAAATATTGCAATGAAACAAATTTTTTTTTAAATAAAATAATATTAGAAATTATTAGAACGCAAAATTAAGCAAAAAAATACAATAAATAACATATTTTGAAATTACATTTAAAAAATTATTGATAAAGCTAATTTTTATTATAATATAATTAATATTAATTGATTAATTTTTAATACTAAGATAGTTTAAAAATTTGTAAATAATACAATTATAAAGCATAAATATATCATGTATATTAAAATATATATATCATAGTTTTTTTTATATTTTTCAACATAATTTAGCATAATTTTTCATATGAACTTTTTCTTGGATATACTTTGGCATTATTAATATGTTTTCTTTTCAGCTTTTGTGCCTTTGTCATTTTTAGACATTTTCCGTCTTTTCCTATTACACAATTTATTTACTTTTATTTCATTAATCCTGACATATATTTTTTTTCTATCCCTTCTCAATCTGTCCTCCTCCGTCTCTCTCTCTCTCTCTCTCTCTTTCTTACTGTTCCTAATACACTTTTTCAGTATAAAATAATTGTATACTTCATTTTTATGTATTTTTAATTTAATAAAATTTTCTTACAATACTTTAAAAAATTCTACTTTTTAGATATGTTAGTGATTAATAATATTTTTAGAAAATAACATACATAAGGAATTTCATCGCTATTATTAAATAGCACAGTTATATGAAGAATGTATTTCGAGATTTTGATTATCCATGTATCCTTTATAAAATACTTGAAAAAAAAAAATAGAATTGAATTTCCTATACAGTAGAAATTTAAGTTATCTCTTACTGAATTATGGAGAACGGAATAACGGAAAAGTACGGAATCTCGAAATACATAAGAAAAATGGTTTAATCAAGTAAATGAGATTCGATCATTAATCGATCATATCGATCATCAGCCAATTATATCATCCACTAAAAACATCACATAAAAATTATTTGATACAATTCACAAGTAAAAAATTTTCATTCGGTCAACAAATGGAACATATAACTCTTGTACAAGTTTTAACTTTCTTCTTTATTTCTCAGCCTTTTAGTTTTATCTTCTACTCGTGCCAGTGTATTTTCTCTCCTTCTTTGCCTTATAGCATGAGCGCATAAATCTTACAATTCACTAAAGGTAGCTATAGGTAAGTGAGAGTAAAAAAGACAGAGAGACCGAGAGGAAATTGCCATCAGGTGCTCAGGCCACTTCCGGGATGGGAAAGAGGCAGAGGCACGTTATCGAGTTCCTGGTAATAATCTCGGTGGCAACGATGGCGGCAACGAACCACTGATTTGTGGTATGGTCTCTCTCACTCACTCCCCCTTACTCTCTCAATCTTTCTATATTTCTTGATTTCCTAGTAGAGTAATGGCAGCAGCGGCATTAATGGCAACACGCCGATGTTACCAGTGGTTACAATCAGGTATGGGTCAGACCTAGTTTGCGTCCATACTAGCCATCTTAACTTATTTTATCGAGTGCACGTCAAGATTTTTCTTAGTGCAACTACAAAATTATATCATTTTTAGTCATTTATATGGCGTTCTCTATAATTTATTATAATTCTACCTATTGACAACCTTGATAAATCTTGATTTGACATTGAGATAGGCTCGATATAATCCTTTAATGATAAATTTTCTTAATTTCCGATTTAACACTCCTTTATATAATTGCAATTTATGAAAATATTCCACATACATTTGGAATATTAAGACTTGTCTTGTTGAAAATTTAGAATTTAAATATTTTATGTTATTTTACATTACACTAATAGTTTGTCCTTATAGAAAATTGAGAATAAATTTTTTTTGCTTTGCGATAGAAATATAATAAAATGCAAATATTTCTCTTAATATTGATAATTAAACTACTCCTAATAATTCAAAAATAAAAAATATTATTTAAAATTTAAATCTGTTTATAGACTATGATCAATCGATCATATGCATAAATTGGTGCATTACATTCACAGTACAAATTATATTCTATTAATGGAAAAGTTTTGATAAAACAATTATTTGAAAAAATTAATAACTTCTAATCTTGAATTGAAAAGATGTATTTCATAAAGCATTCCACAAATATTATAAAATTAACACATTTCGGAATAATCATTATATTTATATAAAACAATTTGAATAATCAACAATATATACTTAAACCAACAGTTTTTTTATTTCAATATTTTTTTAATGGATTATTGAAAGATAACTTGATACATACATAATTTATGTATTCATCTGCATATGTAAGATTTTTAAATACTAGGAATTCTGTCGTATGCCTCTTCTATTTAATTTAATATAATGTATTACTAAACGTCCCATAATATTGAAATGTAATATTATTTTAAAATGTAAAATATTGCTCCTTTTAATGAGTGAGTAGGATTATTTTAAATCTGTAAAAAGAATTGTTCAATTAAAATTAAAACATTAAAATATTGTAATATGCATATATTTTGGAAATTCTATTTTGGCCGACTGTTATTAATATAATATAATAAAATTAATATAATAAATTAATGGAATAAAAATAGCAAATAGATGTTTTCAGACACTTACAATATTTTATTAGACAAATAGTTATTCGCGGGAATTTTTATTTTCATTTCATTGATAATGCATTTTTGTATAATTAGCGTGGAAAAACAAACGAATGAAATATGATAGAAAATATACATATGACGCTTGTCGACTATTAAGTCAGTAATTTCCAGTATACTGATGGATGATTAATGTTTAGAATTTTTTGTAACAATATTTAAAATACAGTGGTAAGCAGTGATTGTTTGAATTATCTCACTCTTAAATTAAAATTAACAATATAATTCAACTGCGTATAAGTTTAATATTTTCAATGGTACTGACTTCGTATGTATACATTATGACAAAAACAGTAAATTTATATATTTACATCTGTATAAATAAATATTTATAATAACTTTTCCTATATAATTTTAGTGCCTATAAATTCAAATTCATGCTAAAAATTAATGTAATAGCGTAACATCGATAAAATAAAATTGTGATAAATTTGAAAGGTAGTTAAAATCTTATAATAAAATGTTATAAAATAAAAAATGTCAAAACAAAAACATTAATTTAATGAAATAAGTACATATTGAATAAATGTATTAAGAATTTTAAAAGAAATTTAAATATGTTCAGATTTATAGAGTAGATACAAAATTTAATATATAACCGAGATGGACAAATTGATTAATTTATTTTAGCTCCTATCATTTTAATCTATTAAAATTGAAAAATATTAATAATTTTGAGAATCCACAACCCGATTCATCTATTAATGTTTATTTTGTTTT